GTCGACAAATTTACGCACCACATAGATGCCGAGACGACGCAACTCCTCGTGATGGGCATCACGTTCGACGCTGAAGACCTGCTCAAAGATGCGAAGAAGTTTCGCCTGCAAACAAATAATAATAATAATGAAAAGAGTAAGGTTAGGTATTTCGTGAAATAGTATAGAGTTAAATACAAAAATAACAAAGTGTTGAGACGGATACGATGATGACTTGTTTGAAAACGGCTGAAAGTGCGGTTAACCGAAAGTCGACGCGAGACAAGGAAGCCTTTCACCAATATTAAACAAAGTGCCAGCTGCTGGCTGTACGTGCAATTTATTTTATAATTGCACATATACACGAGCAAGTGATGCTATACATACAAGTATACCTAAATACATGTAAATGTATCCTTAAGCACACACGCTTAGTTGGGTGTTTATGAGTGCTCAAGCGATTGTATATAACAAATCATTAGCGGTTGCAATGCGCACAACTGGGACAAACCGCGCGCCTGCCAGCGCCAGTCAGACAGTCAGTAAGTCACCGAGACGCCACAGTCAAAGCAATTCAATTATCCTGCTGCAGTTGAGCGAGTGTTTGTGTCTGGTGTCATTGCATGCTCCGCGCGTTCAAGTCGGCCGCGGTGAGAGTTCATAGCTTGGCTGGACAGTGGGTTAAAACATCTATTTTTGCACAGTATCAAGAATTTAGAAGAATTATCACTTGCATGGACGCACAACAGACGCACGAGCTTACGAGATTTGATGACAAAATATTAAGCTACTGTTCCCGAACGCATTTGAGAAATCCCTTAGAAAATAGAAATTATGTCAAGAAGAAATGATATATCAACCAGAACAATGTCAATACTTATTCTAGATGATCTCTGCATGAAAGCCCCCGTCGTAAAGATTTTATTTATGAAGAACCCGCGTTTCAGTCTTGAAGAAGTTTTAACAATCAAACGACAAAATCTACGCAAAAATTCCAAAGATGCAAAACTGTTATTCAAAGACGTGGTCCTTGCTCAGCCGAGGTAAAGCAGCCAAGCAATACTCTCTTCGATAAATGGCATTGGATCTTCTAGCAGGACTTTACTTTAGCACATAAGGCAAAAACCACTAAGCATAAATATTGGCAAAAATCCAATATTCCTGCTTTCATAGCGGCAGATGATTGGTCGCTAGGAAGTCCTTATTTGAATATATTGGACTACAGCTTGTGGTCAGCGTTGTAGAACATGGCCTGTCGAATATCTCGCAGAAATTCGGAGAATCTCAAATAATTGGTGCGAGTAGCGCCGTCAATACCAATGGAAACTGTGCAGACTGATATTGATCAATGGCCGAATCGTTTGTGGAATTGTGAGAAAGCAAAAGGTGACCACTTTGAAACACAAACTGAAATTTTGTACATCGCTCAGTAAATATATTTATTATTCAATAAACTTTATTAAAATCTAGGTATTTGGTTTCATTTTATAACGGATTGAACTTGTAACATAACTTATGGCAGGATAAGGTATATATATATACAAGGTGCGTTCCAAAGTAAACAGGAAAAGTAACAAAGTAAACTCTAGTAGCGCCATCTATATGTCGACTAGTGCGTTAGAATCTGCTATCCTTTATCGACTTCCAGTAAAAATTTCATGACATTTCATCTGTTGGAAGTGAAGTTATTGCGTTTTAAATGTCAGTATGTTTTTGTCATCGGTGCGAAAATGAGCTTCGAACAAAGAGCCAACATTAAATTTTGTTTTAAAATTGGTAAAACTTTTACCGAAACGTTTCAATTGATGAAACAAGTTTATGGCAAAGATTGCCTATCCTGTGGCAGAGTGCACGAGTGGTTTCAACGTTTTCAAAGTGGTCGTGAGGACATAAATGAGAAATGAGCCGAAACCCAAAAAATCGCGCCTGGAGAAGTCAAAAGTGAAGACAACGCTGATTTGTTTTTATGATTCCAAGGGTATTGTCCACAAAGAATTTGTTCCACCCGGCCAAAACGTTAATGCGGTATTCTACCTTGGAGTTTTGAAGCGTTTGGTGCGCCGTATTCGACGTGTTCGGCCCAAATATCGCGAAGATGGAAGTTGGCGTTTGTTGCACGATAATGCGCCGTCTCATCGATCGACGCTTGTGGCCGATTATTTCACCAAAAATCACATTTTAACAATCAACCACCTGATATGGCACCGTGCGACTTCTAACTTTTTGGAAAAATGCATTTGCCGATGAAAGGAAAGCGTTATGCAGACGTGGAGGCCATTCAAAAGGCTTGCACCGGCATACTGGCGGCCATACCGGGCAACGAGTTAAAGCACTCGTTCAACATGCTTTTGGACCGTGCAAAAAGCTGTATTAAAGCAGAAGGAGACTATTTTGAATAAAATTAATTGACTTTGCCGATAAAACCATTTGCCCCGGTTTTTTTTTTAAAGTCCTGTTTACTTTGGAACGCTCCTTGTGTATATTAATATTAAGGGCTCGGATTTTCACAGGCGTCTTTTTACATCTCCACGAAAGTTTTTGCGTGAGGATTGATTTCGAAAAAAAAATTAAATATTTTTTTTTGAATCAGCGTAATATATATCTACATTTACCTCGATCAATTTTAGGTATTTCAAACAAACCTAAGGTGATTTTTATACAGGTAGTATGTGAAATATGTTGCGAGAATATACAAATTAGCATTCAGTGACTAATTTTGAAATTTAGATTATTTAAGATATTTAACACTGCGGGTCAAACTATTTAGCTTCTGTAATAAAACTTCTCAGAAGGTCTAACTCCCATAGTCTATTGGCAAGCTCATGACAAACATAACAGACATAAAAGTTGGCGCACCCTATATATAGAAGTAATAATACGAAAAATGTATATACTAAAAAGCTAGTCAGTCTAGACATATATTTGTTGAAAGTCCAAAATATATATCAGTCAGTTTTTTAAAGAAATTTTCATGAATCGAACACACTGTACTCCATTGCAGAACAATTCAATTCAAACTCCTTTGGGATGCAAACACCAGAAGAGTCTACCCGAAACAGAACAAAGCAACAAAGCAGTTTAGAGGCATTTTAGGCATTTTGTGCTAACTGTAAAACTAGAATGTTACAGATTATACTATTAAAATTTGCATAGGATTATTTTACAAACAAAAAAAAAAATTGTTTCGAATATTAATTTTATTACAAGAAAAAATTGCCTGGCTTATAGTTGAAAAATATACATATTTTTATTTTACAAAAGACATTGCAGTTAATGTGAGAATTCAGCTGAATCTTTGTGCTGTAATAAATCACATTCCAAACTGCCGAAAAAATATAGCATTAATTTGTAGCAAAAATAATTCCTTCATTTCTTGGCAAATTTTTAATTCAATTCATAATATTTCAACAGCTAAAAGCCGCTTGAGCGCGCGTATCTTGATTTATGAGCTGTTAAGAAGGAATCCTTTGCGCGCTCTTTATTACAGCTATTGTTGCAAAGCAAATTACTGCAAAATAAATTATGATTACTCATACATTTTCTGCTTTTGTTTGTTTTTTGTTTTTATACAAGCAGCGTAAGGCAGTTGCAAATCGATGCGAAAGAGGAGAGCGCAAAAATACATGCAAAGCGCAGTAAAAAAAATATAAAAAAAAATGAGAAAGAAAACTTGAAAAATAAAAATTGCGCCAGAAATTATCGCAAAAAACATTTTTAATTCCTCTGCTTATGGCACCTAAGAATTTATTTAGTCTGCATTACAGTTAAACTGCCTGCGTCATTACAGCCCGTCCAACACTAGCCTTGCAGCCGGCTCAGCAGCCCTACGAAGTTCAAGTTCATTTAATTCGCAAAAAAAAAAAACACACACACACAAAAGAATAGAAAAAAAGAGTGAGTATAGCGCGATCCAAGGTGGAGAGCGGAAGGACGGCAAGGAGCAACAGGAAGTTGTAACTTTTTCAACACACACACAGAACCGCGCAGCTGCACCTCCGGCGAAGCCTCGAAAATAGAAAAAGTAGAAAACAAACAGCCAGAGTCAGGCAGTTGGTGCCGCCGCAGGCATAGACATACATGTAAAGGTGGAAAGGCAGCAAAGGCAGCCTGATGCCGGCAGACGTTATCGTGTCGGGCCAGACTGAACTAAGCCAGCCTAGGCGGCAAATGCGGCGACCTCACGTGCGCTGTTGCGCTTGTGGCGGGCGCTGTGGCTTGAATTGATGCTGGCAGTGCCACACCGCACACAAGCAAACAAATTTATATCGTCTACATACACATTCATACACAAACACACACTGACACATTGCAGCGCGTATATTTTTAAGTAGCTATTTCTATTTACACTCATTGGCGGCTGGATGCTGTGCACTTTGCCGGAATATTTTGCCAGTGACTTTGATTTATGTTTGCTTTGCGTGCGAGAATACGACGGAAATTCGCCAAGCGCACAACAAAATCAACGGCAAACATGAGACCAAGCAACAGAGTCCTCCGCGCAACCGGGTACACGCTCGAATGTTTATGTACACGCTATGCATGTGTATATGTGTCGTGTAAATAGAGAAAATTTGAAATTGAAATTAAAATTTTACCTATGTACATGTCTAAATTACACTGGAAATTAAAAGTAGGTAGCAAGTGTGGCGGAGCGCTGTTGGCGCTCCGTCTACAAATATAATCCGAAATTCACAATTAAACTCAAAGTTGCATTTTGTCTGCAAAGTTCTTCAGCCTGTTGGACCAACTGCTGGTGAGCCGTAGTCGGCCGTGGTTGGGTTTGACTCTGTACTTTTTATAATCTCGCTGTTGCTACAGAGTAAAATAGTTTTGTTCACCTAACGGTTGTTTGGTTGTTGAAGAGACGAATTCATATAATAAAATAAATAAATTAAACTTTCGATAATTATATATTTTGTGTCAAAAATGGGTTGAATTGGATCAATACTTCCCTTAATATAAAATTTACCAAACACTTGAAATAATTTCCCGGGCTTTGTTCCTTGCAAGTTGCGAGAGTATAAAATATTCGGTTACACCCGAACTTAGAACTTCCTTACTTGTTGGAGTATAATTTCATGTTTGCAAGCTGCAAAAAGTATGCTATATATTTATTTAGCTACGAGTTGTTTGGTTAGAAAATAAACAAAAAACTTTGGTTTTCTAAAATCCGCAGTTTTACTATTTAATTTGCGCACGAAACTAACTGAAGTAAGAACATGTCCGAAAATGAAAACGAAAAAATTGAGCGATACCGAGGAAAAGGTATTAAAAGTCGAGTACGCTTCAGCTTCATGCTGCAATGTTGTGATGACAAAAGATTAACGGCTAGTGTTTCATGCTATTTTCTAATTGAAAATTATATGGTTTTAAAAATACACTCCAAAAATTCTTAACATAAGAATGAAACTTAACTTAAAGTAAAATCCTATAGAATATCTATTTGATTGATTTGGATACAAATTTGAATAAAAGTTCAATCTATCGAACTCTCGTAAAATGCTAGACAGGTAGTATAATAAAATGTTTCTGGTGTCGTGATAATCTTTTTAAATTCAAGAAAAGCCCAATGTTATTTTCAATAGTGTTGCTTATTGACAAATGATTTGCGTACTTTTGTTTTCCCATTCTTCAAACATTCAACGAGTTATTGGCGAGTGGTGACCATTTGCTCAAGATTGGGTTCAAGCTTTCAATATTATCAAATTTGCAAACTATAAAAGCAAAAACATTGGCTAATTTATATATTTTTCTGTGTGTTTTTTCAACACAAAAGTTCGTTATCTTCAACTCTTTACATAAAAAGCTTTCAGCGTGATTCTAAAATTGACAATGACCATTGTCGAAAATCTGTTTGAGTTTTCACTTTATAACTGCAATAAAACATATCGGTACATATCTTACTATAACCCACCTATATTGAGTATATCAATTTTCATCTGTTCGTACATAACAGCCTATTCAGAGATAACTTAATAAATACTTGTAGAAATTGGGTTGTTATCGCATTTTTATTGAGTCCCTTCATGCCAAGCCAGCATAAACGTAATAAAGTGATTTCTTCGATTAATTATGATATACTAACAATATTAAAGTGACTATGTGGAGCTTGGCATAGCGTCATTTGGCTCCGAAACCAGATGTTATTATTCAATGTGATAATTATCGATTTTCAGACTAAAAAGGAAATAAAAATTTATCACAATGTTGCTGAGGGAAATTAAAAACAAAAACTGGGTATTTTAAAATATATCTCTGAGTATTTTATACTTATAATTTTTTCATATCTTATATTACTAGTATAAAAAAATTAAAATACATATGTATGTTTGGCTTTATCAAACAAATGCTCTTCATGTATAAATAGTACTCGTGGAATATTCGGATATAGATTATTCAACATACGAGTAGACAAGGAAATTACAAAAAAAATATTATAGTAAAATGAAACAAATTGAAAAGGAAATAAAAAATAACAAACATGAAATTAAGAACGGTTTATCTTGTTTCAGGCAAAACTACGAGTTCTACTGAAAAATGTGTACAGCAGAGTTGTAGGTTTTTATTCTTATCGTGTACCAACAAAAATCTTTCAAAAAATTTGGTGTAAACTTACCTTCTTATGACATAAGCTCAATGTATTTTTTTTTTAATTTAAAATATTAAGGGAGAAACCTTACTTTAACTTAAACTTGGAAAAAAAACAGAATTTTCAAACAAAAATGCTCATGTCAAAATATCAGATTTTTATATAAAGTAGTAAGCTCTCTCTTTGCTGAAGTCTGATGGTTTAAAAATAAATAAATATAGTAATTTTTCTCATTTTTTACATTTCTGAGAAAATTTAATAAATTACGGTATACCAGATGTACCGATATTAAGTGAGCGTTAAGATACAGCGTGTTGGTAGGGAACATTTGTTGTGAACGAGCCTTAATATTTTTCTGTTTGTAACATGCAAAAATGGTTTCAACGACTCAGAGATATTGGTTTTGATGTGAGAAATGAAGAACGTTTTGAAGACGCCGAACTGCAGCAATATTGGATGAGGATGATACTTTGAGTCAAAAGCAAATGTTATTTATACTAAATGTTGCACAGCAAACAATTTCAAACCGTTTAAATGCTATGGGAAAGATCCAAAAGTGTGGCAAAGGGTGCCGCATGAATTGAATGAAAGACAAATGGAAAACCGAAAAAACACTTTTGAAATTTTACTTCAATGACACGAAAGAAAATCAGTTTTGCATCGAATCGTCACTGGCGATGAGAAATGGATTTATTTTAAGAATTTTGAAATCATAAGTTAATTCGGGACAACAATTAACATCGACCGTAAAAACAAATCGATTCGGTAAAAAGGCAATGCTCTGTGTTTGGTGGTAAAAATGATAAATTTGAATGAGTTTTTGGTGGAGAGCTGCTATCCCACTCGCCGCATTCACCAGACTTGAAATCAAAAATTGGGTGTCTGATTGATTTTCTTCAAAAGACAAATATTTCTATTGTGTAAAAAGCAATGATCAATACTTTGAATAATTTTTTTTTTTTACCTTTCCATTCAAAATTAGTATTTCATTTTCACAAAAAAACATTTCATATCGTTAAACCTGGTATACGGTTGCAATAGCTCTTATTAAAAGTCTAAAATATTAGTATATATGATAGAAACCATGTTCGATTCATTACTTTTATGCCCATGACATAGGAGTTCTGCTCTCTTGTCAAACAATTTACGATAATTTACAATAGTTTAATTGAAGACAATTGTAAATAGGAAAGCCTGATTAAACTGCTGAAACTAACAAGATATTCCTATCTTTACTCTACTACTCTCCAATGCTTGGATAAGCGTAAACAGCAATTACTTAAACAAATATTTGTAAAGTGTATGAAAAAGAATACTTTAAGTATTTCACGGAAGAATAATTAAGCATTTTTCGCGTTATAATTTCGGTTCGTATATACATTTATATATAGCTAGGCACACATCTCCATGGTATGTAAAATATACCTATACAGTAATACTTACATGATACAGCATTGCCGGACAGGAGCAGGCAACAGCGATGCGGTACAATATGGTCACAGCTGCCTTCAATGATTTTGTCGGTATATGATTCCAATCGGTTAGGACCAGCGTACACGCGCGTACGATTTTCGGATTTAGCAATCTGTGCAAAAAAAAAAAACAATAATAAATAATGAAATCAGTAACAATGAAAAGGTTAATGGTTGCGTTGGTAATTGGGAATATTGAGTGGAGAAAATGCTGATTGAGCAAAGCAATACAGTGGATACACGTGAAATTCGGGCGGAAAGAGAATTAAATATTAATTTCCAATTAATTAAATATATACAAGTATACGTACTTAAATGGCTGTGTATGTGTGAGCAGGTATCTACATTTAAGTGAAAACGCTTAGGTTTAATGTTTCATGGGTATTCAGTTAACATGTTTTAATTTAGGCAATTAAGCTTTGGCCCTTAAAGTATCGGCTCGCCCCTACTCACCAAACCGTTTGATGTTGATTCAATTTAAATTTTGTAACGGTAAAAGAAAAGCGGGTGGAACCTGGTTTCCAGCGTCGCATTAAATGCTACGGAACAGACCACTCGGTGGTCTTCAAAATTAATTGTTTTTGATTTTGCAAAATGTTGGCATACAAACACACACTGTTGCATTCAACATTAGTTGATTGCCTTTTTATTTAAAGTCCTTTGTAGGTGCAAAAGCCATGCTTGATTGAGCAGAAATTAAGTGCCGAGCAAAATGCATGTGAATATTTCATAGTGAAATTCATTGATGTGTGATAAACTGGCCGGCCAATAAATAGACTAGTAGCTCTGGGCGACTGTGACACTTCTACGCGTTTGCAATTTAAGATTTTCAACAGGAAAAATTAGTTTTGCCACAAGTAAATGCAATGTGGCATATATATATAGATAGAGGCTCAGTCTCAAGGGACCAAGCATGTAATCTCTTCTGATATTTATTATAAACAGTCGAAATGAATTCAAACATGAGTGCGTCAAATCTCATGCAGAATTGATTAAAAATTTCAAAATTTCCATACAAAACATTTTGTCTGTGGCCACATGCTACCAACTATAGCCGATAGGCTTGGGCTGGTGTCGCCGCCGCTGCCACTGCCTAGTAGCTGCTAGTACTCTAGTTAACAAGAATTGAAATAGAAAACCTTTTACTTACAATGTAAATTACCAAATGCTGTTAACTTGAGCTGCTGCAGACTGTGAAAGTACAGGCAATGAATTACAGGCACATACACACACATTTAAATATATACACACTCACACAAGTTTATACACAAATATAGTATATTTGGTTTTCATTTTGTTGCAAAAGCGATTACACTTTGTTGCTGTCAACTATGAAACGGTATAAGCATACCACTGCTGAGGAGTAGAGAAGCAAGAGAGTAGAGGCAATGAATAGTAGCGCAAATAATTGACAAAAGATTTGGCAAGAGCGAAGTACGAGTAGCTGGGCGCCAGTGATCGACGTGTAGGTGCTGGGGTGTGTGGTAAAAATAAATTTAATTTTACTCACTGAATAGGTATATAAAATGGGTAACAATGGTGGGAATTGAGACGTGGGTTGTTCATTGTAGTGAGAGGAGACTGGCAGACAAAATCTAGTTTTTTGAAAACAGGCAGATTCATATTATATGTAAAGGTTGAGAACCTACTGAATAATGAAAGTCGAATATATTATTACACAAAAATCCTATCAAAGTTGTAAAGATTCAACACCTCGGCAAGAAACTATAATTTGACTTTAAATTATTTGGGATTTATAGTAAAATTTCGAGTAAATAATAAAAATTTTTCCAGACAAAGCTTTCGTTAATCGTATTAAGCCATTTTCTATATTCGAAATGAGTGAAATTTGAACCAGTTAAAAGAAAGGCTGTTCCAGTACTTATTTTGCATGTGAAATTTTATGGAAAAATTAAAGAGACAAACCGTATAATTTTTCTAATATTTATTGCGATAAAAATTTTTGGAATAATTTGTTCCGAAAATGAAGACATGCCAAAATCTGTTATGTTAATATGTCAAATAATATAGTTTTTAAGTTAGTACAAAAATTTTGTTCTGATCGATTCTACACAAAAATTCAGAAGGTTATTCCAAAAACTACAGACATGCGGATAGAGAGACAGACGAAAATGGCTAAAACGAGTCAGCTGGTCACATCATTCAGTTATATATACCATTTATAGGGTCTGCAACGTTTTCTTCTTAGTGTAAATAGCATCGTGGCAAGCTTAAGATACACTGTTCAGGGTCTAAAGGAAGAATGAGAAGCAGAATAAATCATCTATGCATTCATAAATTTGTAATGGTCTGAAGGAAAATTCTAAACCTTTATGAAAGGTATATTTTCAAAAATAATTTTTGATAGGTGTTAACTCTATTCTCAAAAAAATCTCAATTAAAAACTTTTCAAAAGCTCTAATAATCCTTAAGCTTTTAATTATGTTTGACACACATCTTGTAAATTATTATTGAGTCTAAACTTTTCGCGATAGGTGACAACCCTTTTACAAAATATGTGTAAATTCAAGATTTCCACAAAACCTTCCGTAAAAACTAAACAGCACAGATATGAAAATGCACGAGTAATCCATATAAATTGTAAAAAATATATTTCTGGCGCTATGCCACGGAAAATCTTTTGAAAATATTGATTTAAGTTTTTAAATCTGAACTAGAAAGTAAAGTTTACTAGTGGCTTGTAAAAAGTAAGAAATAAGTAATAAAAACATTTCCAGCATGGCTACGCTTTATATAGCTTGCGCACAATTGATTGGCTTTAAGCTCCAACCTCTTTTTTGTAGGCTTGGGAGAAGAAAATCTTGTCATCGGCGCTAGCTGTAGCGACTGACTATTAGAACGCTCATATGGAGGCTTCATAAGCTGAATACTGAGGCTGTAAGGACATGCATCGCAGAGGATATATACACGTATAATACACGTATATGTGTAACGAAATTCCAGCAGCTAAAAGCTGTCAATGCTCGTAGACAATAAAACATGATAATACAGATAGGTTTAATATTCTAAATATGTTCATGTAACCGATATTGGTGTCATGGGGAAGCAAAGATACTTGCTCGTTTGCATGACCGATTAACTGGCTCAGCTGTTTGCTCTGTGTTGGCTAAAAATAATATAAGAGCTTTCTGTCAGCTTAGTACATATATATTGACATAAATACAATATTTTATAAAATTTCATTGCTTTGTACAACATTTGAATATTTTGGCAACTATCAATAAATATGGAAACTGAATTCGGTTTGTTTGTGACCCAATATTTGGCTTAATGGTAGTGTAATTGAAATATTGAATGGAAGTAAACAATTTTTACATTTTATGAATATGGATATGAATTTAGTGAGTCAAAATGCATGGTTTGCTTAACCACCTTTTGAAGTTTTAAAATTTTTCAAATAATTTACGAGAAAACTCAAAAGGCTTTGCTTTCATCAATAATCTACCACACCAATACAAAGTGAACAACTTTCGTGCTTACAATCAGCAACAAAAGAGTGCCTCATACCACTCCTAATACCCATTTAATAAACATACTTTACTTTATATAATTTTCGACCAATTTAGTTAAGGCAAAAAATTTTACTAAAACAATAAAATATTAATATTATATTTGTTTAAAATACTTTCTTTACTCAAACGAAAACTTGTAAAGCATAAAAGCGTTTAAGCTGCTAACTGTCAATTATAACTCTTATCCGGACAATATAAAGCTGCTTCGCACACACACAATACCCTATTTAGCTACCCTCTTTGCTTTAGATTTAGAATCGGTACTTTCTTAGTCTTAGTTCCACCACACGCTTGAAAACAGCTTTGCCCTTTGCATGCTGTGCTTTGTTTGTTGAGATCAAGTTCTGCAAAACTTGGTCGGTAAACTGTTTTAATCGGATTAAAAATGATTGTGAACAAAAACAATGCCAACAACAAAACTCATCAACCAGCAGTAGAACCATTCAATATTGGTCGACTTATTTTGCCTACTTGAATTTAGAAAGAGAAATATTTACTCATAATGAAAGCTCGGTTAAATGATATATATATGTATATTCGCAATGATATATATATATATATTTAGGTTTGCACAGGGTCTTCATATACATACGTATTCTGTCGGTGTTTTTTTAGACACACGCTAACTTATCAAATTTTAAAGAAACCAGGTAGGAGAAATATTGCCAGGTGTCAACAATTTTTAAATAAAAATATAGCAATCAAATTTCGTGTTGACAAATTTTATCAATACAATCAAGAAAGCGATTAATTCCTTTTGGTATAAATTGGTTAGTGAAGCTAGCAGGAATCGCTGCTGAATGGCGGCGATATTGAATTTTCCACAAGAACCTTTGGTAATAGCTCGGCCATTAAAGCAATAATCTACATCGCATTGCGTCAGAGAACGATCTTAGAAGTAGGAGGGTGCAAGAATAGTAGCTACCGGAAAGTGGTTACATATAATCTGGGTTCCACGAGGGCATCCGCAAAAATGTAATAACGATGAGATTGCCGCTAACACGATGCAATATGAAATTTTCGAAAATTAGGAAAGACTGATCAATGTATGTAAATGGCGAAAATCAGTGCAAGGGACGGACAAAAAAAACGCATGCTCTGTACTTACACGGTCTCGAAAATACTGCAAGCCGGTTGTCGCTCAAGTCACAGGTCACAACTTACTGCATCAGCATGGCGTATACAATGACAATGTAAAAGTGAGGGAGTAGGCATTAGAGAGACTCTAGTACCTCTTGCATCATGTCTAGGAGCTTAGCTGTTCAAGTTACGGATGAAGTACCAAAACTAGATATCAAATCTTATTAAACTACGCAAGAAGCGTTGAAGACCTCACGACGTAAACTTTAGCTCGTAAAGAAAGCGGAAATGCTAGTACATGGTACTTTGGGAAACTGCACAAAGGTTTGACCAATTTAATAATTTTGTTTATAAAATTACATTCATATGTCAAAATTATTACATATGGACCAGGTGAATATTTATCTTTCATTACTTTTAACGCTCTGGCACATTTCGTTAAAATTCTCACAATTTATATAGTGAAAATATGTATTTAATTGATTTTCAAATTATGTGGA